CTAGCATAGTTAAAACATGAAATAACATTTTGATTATAAATTGGGACCCAACTTGTGAAACTATGTTGCGAAAAGAGGAGACATACGCAATGAATATTCCCTTACAATTATACACGCATGTTGCTATACATTATCTAGAGGGGATGAATAATTTAAGAAAAATTAAGCTCGGATGATCTCCAATTTTAACCTATATCTACCTCAATTACCTCATAGCACAAATGATGTGGAACGTAAGTGTGAAAACCCCTTTAAACCCATGAAGATTAGTATATTGAATTTTTCAATTAAACACTCAACACTCAATCTCTCACGGGGATCCCAACCCAATGACAACCAGTCCAATCAAGCAACTATGTATGATGTAGATTTTCAAGCAATCATATAATCAAACATATAGTGCCCATGTGTGGTCAAATTTCAAGTGTTAGCAAAAATGAGCACAAACAATTTTTTGATGCGAAAACCCTTCTCAGAAAAAATTGCGTGGAACCAAAAGTCAATTTACAATTTTTGAGTTTATACCTCAATCAATATTCATATTTATGTTTGGTAAGTAGCAAATACACATTCGGAATCTACAGATTAATCACAATTATAACCAAACATTTGTCATAAAATTGACTAAATTACCCATTAGCCAATCCAATCCATACCTATGTTTATTTAAGAACACATTTTTTTGTTAACTTATGAATTTCATATTTATATTTTTTTTCCTTCCTACTTATGATATCAAACTTCAATATTGATAAAATTTAGCTATTATGCATAACCACAACAAAACACTTTCCGTGGTGTAATTGTATCCTTGTCCGAAAAACACTCGTACAACATCATATTGTTATATAGTAACATTTAACATACAGAGATATACAAAAACGTTGTCCATCCCAAAACAAATTACAACGGATATACATATCCCCGTTACACCATACAACAAGGCATAATAGTAGTTACATACACTCCACATATAGACATGACATTAATCATCAATGATAAATCACTTCCACTGGAGCCATGTAAGGAGATGTGATTGAAGTGGAGCCAACACTGAAAATTGATGACATTTTGTCCCCCTTCCCCATGTGGGCAATTTTTTTTCTTGAAAATCTCGTAATTTGGACAAGTATTTACACAAGTCCAAGCTGCAAACACATCCTCCTACACAAAAAAAGTTTTGAAATTATTGAGACATCTAAATAATAATTCTTATACTTTTATACATATGGAATAACCTCACGAAAATGTCAACCTCTCCCAACTTTCTAATCATCACTCCAACGAAAAACAACCCTAAAGCCTCTATTTCCTTCATTTTGAGATACCGTCTTTTCCAAAAAATAATCACGTGCATTAGAATGCCCAAAGATAGTTGTGGTTCTTGCCTACGGGCCCATACCAATTCTCATAAACAAGACCAGCCTCCTTCAAGGGAATCACCGGAGTTGCCAAACAATATCTCACCAACTTTAAGTCCATCAAGCAATTCAACAAAACGTCTTCCTTGTCTTGTGTTAGTCTCAATCACTGTATGATTATTAATCATGTTCCAATGATAACATTTATTACGAAATAAGTGTGAAACATATAAGTTAATAACATTATAGAAACTAGTATATATATGTAGTTCTAATGATTCATACAATGTAATACATATTTTTTGAAAAACAGAATACAACTTGCTGAATTTTTTTTTGATTAATTATCAACTTCATACATCACCATAAGATAATATGATAAATAATTTTTTCAGAAAAGTATTTAAAATATGGCAAATGATGAAATTCAACATGAACCATACTACGCCGAACAAAATTCTATTAAATTGAACTGGTTCGACGATTTGGTGTACTCTTCCAACCATTTCGTGGGGCAGGGCATTTGTGGGTGTGCTATTATGTGCCTTTATTCCACCACATTCTTGTCTTTGGGTATATGTATTGGATTAGTATCTCGTTCTAAGGCTATTGCAGCAACATGTTGCATTAAGGCTTTGTTTATTGGTGTTTTTTTAATGGTTCCCTTGCACATCTGATTTTATTGACAAAACCAATTTGATAACACTGATTTGAAGAGAGAAAACATGTTAAAGACTATCTCTCCTAAATTAAGTTTTTTAGTATATAGTTATAGATTATAAATACAACAATGCTATTTAGAGTCAATTTATTGACATAATTTATTTATTTAATTATTCATAGTTATTGGATTAATTGTGAGACCTAATAATTGTTAAAACTTATAATAAATTTAATAATTATAATGAATTAAATTAATAAATTATATTAATTTAAAATAAATATTATTTATAGTATAAAGTATGATAAATTTCAATAAATCATCACGAATATTATTTTTCATAAAATTATTCACATTACATTAGGCTGTATTTTTAAATACAACTTACACTGTATATAAATATTAGAAAGTGGGTACGAGCATATCAAACAAAAAAAGTTCCGAATAAAGAGCCTCGTGAGTGAGCAATAGGAGACCGAAGGAAGATGGTAGTGTGGCCCACGTTGTTGCCCTTTTCGTCGTCTCCTTCCGTTCAATTCAATCCCTCCACTCCCAACCCCACAAAACAATGCCCAATTATTTATTCAAAACATTCCAAAATTCACCGACACTTCACACTTCCCCCACTCCCCACCTCTCTCTAGCGCGCGTGGACTCTCTCTCTCCGTCTCTCACACTCACAGTTTCTCTCTCCTCTCCTCTCCTCTCCTCTTTCATAAGGATCTCCTAAGCACGCATCCAATTGCTCCAACCCTTTTTCTATCTACACTTATCCATTTTTAGGCTAATCTTAACTTGGATCCCCAAAGATCACTTAAATTTTAATATATACCCTTAAAATTTAAAATATTAATTTACACCATAAAAGATATAAATTCGTATTAATGTGCACTTGAGAATAACTCTGTCCATTTTTTTGTTAAAAAAATTTGATTTAATTATAAATTATATCCTTCCAATTTTAAATATTTCATATTTATAATTTAAAAAGAATTTTATCTATTAATACTCGTTAGATAACTCTCAATTGTATCATATCATAATATATTCAAACCGTGTTTGAATCAATATAAAAATCTTTTAATATTTTGATCAAATTAAAGTTAGATACGAATAATACAATTGTAGACAAAAAATAGTTATTTAACAAGCATTATAGACAAAAATTGATATTTTTTAATTTTTAAAAAATATTAAAAAATATTTTATTATTGTAAATGTGAAATATAAGATACAACGCAATTGATTTAGTACAAAATATTTTTTTGTTAAAAATATTCTTTTATTGACTTAAGTACGACACGAAAATGTTATGATACGATATAATTGAGGAGTTATTTAACGAGTATTAACAGATGAAATTCTTTTTGGATCATAAATGTGAAAATATTTAAATTTTGAGGGATACAATTTATAATTAATTCAAACTTTTTTAACGACAAAATAGATGACAGTTAATCTTAGGTGAATATTGATACGTATTTATATTTTTTTAAATATAAATTAATATTTTTAAATTTTAAGTGTATAAATTGAGAATCGAATAATGATTAACTTTTTTTTTTTATGCAAACCTCTTCTACATTTGTCAGTTTTTATATACTGAACTGTTATTGTAATCACTCTCTCACTCTAGATTTGTCTTCTCTCTCTACATTTGTTCAGTTTTAATATACTAAACTCTTTTCTAATCTCTCTCTCTCTCTAGATTTGTCTGCTTCTGTATTTCACTGTATATTGTATTATGTTCTTTGTTTCTCCCTCTGGAATGACATTGTCGGCACCGGAAGCTCTTCTACTTGCCTCTGCAACGGTGTCGTTTCGTCGTTTGTTTACAAATGTCAAACTATTCCTTCACATTGTACTTTCTCTCTCTTCGATGTAGCAGCTCGTGATCTTCTACTCCAACTGCGTTTTTCAGGTGATTATCTTTTTCTTTTTCTCAGCTTTTCTTTTTTCCTTTCCGTGAGGCCATTGAACGTGAGTTTTCTCTTTGTTTGACCCTCTTTTCATATTTTCTTCTTCGTATTTATAAGCATTAATGTTAGCTAACTGTACTGTTGATTTTCAGTTCATTTAAACTTCATTTGGAAGCGCATTTGCGAGTTTCAGGTATCTATTGACTCGCTCTGTTTTAGTGGTTTTGTTCTTGTTACTTGTTTTTTATGGTTTTATGGTTCTTGTGCTATAATTTGTTGATTTTTCGGAATAATGTGTCACATTTACCCAAATTTGTACGAATAATTTGCTGACTTCATAAATCCCAATTTTTCCCTGGGTAAGTTTCTCCCTCTTTCTCTCTCTCTGCACGCACGCACACACACAACACGTACACTAAGCTCCTAGAAATTTGGTATTATTATTTTCTACCCTTACTACGTTTATTTTACATTTGCACACTCTCGGCTTATTGAGTTTTGGTAATTTTTTTACCATTAATGCATTAATTGGATGCTTTTCAAAGGGGTGTTTGAATTCTTGTGTTGTTAATCCTCTTTGACTCTGCATTTTCAAATTGAAGTGTGTATGAATTGACAATAGTATTTTGCTTTAGTGGATAAACGTCACTAGTATTTTCATACAATGTGATAGGAATAAATGTCACTAGTATTTTCATACAATGAGATAGGAATAAATGTAAGTTATGATCTCATGGAAACTGCCTAGTTTTTCTGCATATTAACAGAATAGAAGACATTTATGTCTTGTCAGTTACAAAATTTTGCCTGTGACTTTCAATCTTTACTGTCACTTTAAGGGTCTAAGTAGCTTTTTTTTTTCCTCTTGCACTTCTCCTGGGTTTGTCTCAAGAAATCGAATTGTTCTGAGCTAGAAATTCACTTTTAAGCAACTTCTAAGATTATGTAGCTGTTCTATGCTGATATTATCAGATATTTCTGATTTATGGTTTTGCACCTCTGCAACAGAACTGACAGGTTTTGGCATTGACCTGTGGAGGCAACTAGTCAATTTCTCTAATGGAGCAGTACGAAGTACTTGAACAAATTGGGAAAGGGGCTTTTGGCTCTGCCCTTCTTGTGAGGCATAAGCATGAGAAAAAGAAGTGAGGATGGATCCTACTGTTTCCATTTTTTTTTGGGTCTATTCTTGTGATGATATGCCTTACAAAATTCCTGCAATGGAATAGATAACTGATGTGTGATGTATTTGCAGTTGTTATTCATTGGTCAGTTCCACTTATTACATATTTTTCTAAATGTTAAGGTATGTGTTGAAAAAGATTCGTCTAGCCCGCCAAACTGATAGGACTCGTCGATCTGCACACCAGGAGGTTTGTATTCTGTTCTGCAACTACTAAAATGCATGTAAACTTGACAAGCCTTTGTAGTTTCTGTTAACTGGATTTGATTTACTTTTTAATAGTTGTTACACTGGATTCCTATATCTTTTGTTATTGCAGTTGGGAAGAAAATTCACCACATGAAGTTTATCACCAAATTATGACCAGAATGTCTGCTTGAATGCACAGAGTTAAACAACTTGAAATCACTTTTAAGGTTGTCCAACTTTGCAGTTGGGCCTAGAAACAGTGACACGTGGTTGGTCATTAAACACTAAATCCAATGTATTTACGTGGAACACCCATGAAAATAATTATGCTATGCACTCTATGATGTACACAAAATTACTTATGCTGAGCACTCTCATATATATATATATATATATAGCATTTCATAAAACTACACAGTTGCATATGTATACTAAGCTGCTCCCAAATGATGTTTAAATTGGATAGATGACGCTGTGAAAAGATTACAGACTGACCATTTTCCCATCTTTTGTAGATGGAACTTATCTCCAAAATGCGAAATCCATTTATTGTGGAGTATAAAGACTCCTGGGTAGAAAAGGTTGGCCACATCTATCATTGTCATTGTTGTTCTTCTGTCAGTGATCTCTTCTTTCTTCTTTTTTTGGTTGATATCCTGCATGGCTGCATGGATTCATGCTTTTAATGGTTTTTTGTTTGAGTAATGCAAACTTACTCTAGTTGTGTCAATGTGCTTTACTTTCCTAAACTCAACTCTAAAATACATTGTTCAAATTGTTTGGGGTCGACTACATGAAATATCAAGCACAATTTTTCACCCCTTGCATACACACACACTGCAGACACACACAGAGTAAAAATATAAAAACTCTAATTTTCTGAATGTCTTTGGTGCAGATCATATTAACTAACCAGTGATGTTTGAAAACAATGTGCATTCACAGTGACCATGAAAGAACTGATACAAACTGAAACTTGAAGCAGTGTATATATCAAACAATACTGGAAGAACTTTTTGATTTGGTTCCTATCTGTTGTGCTGTTGTGGTGACCGATTTGCTGCCAAATATGAAGCAGCTTGTGAGATTGAATATAACCTTGGTGTGGTGTATAATTATAAACTAACAACAATTTTTTAGTCACTGATTAGCTGCAATATACTATACTTCAGGATCGAATGCAATGTTTTCATTCCAGTTTGCTTAACTTAAAAAAATAATTATTCTGAGTCTTTATGCATAATCAACACAAACTATCAGAATAAGAGTTTTTAACTCTATTATAGGGATAATTTTCACTGCATTTGACATACATTCTAACTCGTGGTTTTGGTAGTATTTGTATTAGCTGTCTATTGTTAATGGTTTACAACCAGAAAAAGCACAAGAAGTGCGTTCATCATCAAGCCAGCAGTGGACATATTTTATTGAAAAGGATGCGTAGTCTGCAAATTTACCTCTCCCAACATTAGGATTTTAATTTTGTGCCAACCTATTACTTCCTTATGTAGATTTTGTGCTTTCAAATTTTTTTGATGTGGTACGCATTGTTGGATAGCAGAATCAACAGTGTTAATGCCTTTACTTGCAGGGTTGCTATGTATGCATAATCATAGGTTATTGTGAAGGTGGAGATATGTAAGTTGTTTTTCTTGTTGGAATTACTATCAATTGATTGTACTTTCTCTTCTAGCATTTGTGCCATATCTGTAAGATAACCATACTTTTGTGCTGCATCCTGTTTCTCAGGGCAGAGGCTATAAAGAAAGCCAACTGTGCTCTTTTTCCTGAAGAGGTTGTTATTAAATTGTATTGTATTTGTACAGTTTGCTTTTTCTCTTCTCCTCTAGCAATGAAGCGCATTCTATTCTCCATGGTTGCACAGTAATATATTGTATTCATTACTCAGCTTTACTTTCCTGTTTTTCTTTCCTTTAATTATGAATCTGGAACTGTATAGAAACTGTGTAAGTGGCTTGTTCAACTCCTTATGGCGCTTGACTACTTACACACGAATCACATTCTGCATCGCGATGTGAAGGTTAGTCATTTTCATATCTGTACATAATAAAGGTATTAGTTATAACTTCCAAAATCTCTGAACCGGCATTTATTGATACCATTATACGATTTCTTGCGTCTTGCAGTGTTCGAATATCTTCTTAATGAAAGATCAAGACATTCGTCTTGGTAAGAGATTCTTTTGTGCTTCTTTTTCCTGAGAGGATAATTAATTTTTGTGAACTATCACAAATTGATTATATTACAGGTGATTTTGGACTTGCCAAGATGTTGACTTCAGATGATCTTGCCTCTTCCGTAAGTGGTTGAATAATAGGTTTATGTTTCAATTTTTAAGCTTTGGCATAATTGTTTTATTGGTGGATGTTGCTATTTCATCACTCAGGTTGTCGGAACTCCCAGTTATATGTGCCCTGAGCTTCTTGCTGATGTACCTTACGGCTCCAAGTCTGACATATGGTCTTTGGGTAAGCCTGGTGTACCCCATATTGAGCTGTGATTTCTTCCCATTTTTTAAGCTGAAGCACTCTAATATCTCTAAAATGTTACTCAGGATGCTGTATATATGAAATGACTGCTCTTAAGCCCGCATTCAAAGCATTTGTAAGTTGCAATGTCCCTTATCACATGATAAACTTTCTGTGGCTTGTCACTTGCCGTCATCTATATGTAATGTAACCAACCACTTTGTGAATATAAACATAAAATTGTTTGCCCAAAGCAAAAAGAAAAAGGAATATTCACTATATATGTGAGCAAAATCTGCCTAGAAGGATCCATTATAATTTGTTGGGTTTTCACATTTCTTTGATGCCATTCTTTATAATAGACGTAATTAGGTTACTTAATATGACAAGTGCTAAAAAGTCAAGGCCATACCTAGGATAAATGACCTTTTACTAATGCTTTGCTCATATTTCATGTTGGCCCTATCATATTCATGTTGGATGCCAATTGTAACTCTCCCTTGTTATATTAGATTTAATGGGATTTGGAGTATAAATGTTGCCACAGTGATTCTTGCCTAGAGAGGCAATCTATCGATATTCAATATTCTGCCTTAAGCTTGGAGCCCATCGTTAGTTAGGCATCAAGCTTGGACACTTACTCTCTTGGATGATTGTTTAGATGTGTTATGTGGATAAATGGTTCAAAAATTGAAAAGAAAGGTATTCAAAATCATCTTGGTCCTCGTCTCTGGTGGAGTTGGAACATTAATAGCAAACACTTGGTTTTAGGAAGCTTAACAACAATAACTTGATGTTTGAGGAGCCTTAATAAAAAAAACCCCTAAGTTCTAATCATCCTCTTCAATATTGTTAGTTGTTGAATGACCCTAAGTTCATTTTTTTTCCCTTTTGATCTCGGAGTTTTCCATGGTAACCTGGGAGGTTTTGTGTGTGAGTCGATTTGCATATTTATCTTTTGTTATTGCATATTGGATTCTAGGTTAGGGATTTTAATTCGCACAAACTAGTATTTGAGATTTGGGTTTGTGTGAGAGCGGTTGTCGTAGAAAGTGGGAGAAGGTTCCCTATTGAAAGATTTAGTTGTGCAAACTATTGGTTTTGGAATATGTAGATGGAGCATAATCTTCACAAGAAGAATTTGTATAAACCTTTTTCAAAGAAATTGATGGACCTGAAGGACAAAGAAGTGATGATTCTGGATAGATGGGCACTAGGCACCATTAGATTGGATTTGTCTCCATCTGTAGCCTTCAATGTAGATAGTGAGAACACAACTCTAGATCTCATGGCCGCGCTATTTTATAAGCATCTAGGGGTTGTACCCTACCATGAGCGAAAAATGGTCATGGTTGTTGGTTGTGATAAGAGATAGTGTGATTGTTGTTTATTGTTTGCTAATTCTTTGATTTGCTCTTTGTTGGCTAGAAATCGTTCATTGATTCGATGTTGATATCAAGTTATCATCATCACTCTTGGTTGCCTAATTGTTTGAATTGAGGTACTGTTAATCGATTTGCATGAATGATGATTGATTGTGCCTTTGTCATCGTTGGTTTTGGTTATTGTCATTATCATCGACTTTGTTGATAGCTGTTGTGGTTGATGTTGGTGTTTTTCATTGTTGTCGTTGCCAAAGTTGGCACATTGGTTTACGCCGTGTAAGGCTAGAGTTTTGTATTGTGATGTTCGCTCTCTAGACGGAACTGGAAGACAAGATCTGTCTTCTACCAGATCTATTCTTCCGGTAACGATCTAAAGTACAATTTATTAAGGGTTTTTTGAAAGCCGGTACACTTTTTAAAATTTATTTGACTTTAAGTACAAATTTTAAAAACATTTGGGAAAGAAGGACCAAAGTAACCCTAACCATCATCACATCACTATTGAAAAAATCAAATAAGGAAACCAATTAATTTGAAAACTAAAACTCTTAAATTTTAGAGTTTTTTTATATTAGAACTCTTTTTCTTTCTCTCTCTCTCTCTCTCTATATATATATATATACACACATTACTAAATTCAAAACTTAAATATATTTTAAATTTGTCAATTTGAAATTATTTTCAATTCTTTCTAAAATTCTAAAATTTTAGGATTTTCTTATTTTAGAACAACTTTGTTTCTCCTATATATATATATTTGTGACCAAAATAAAGATAACGAAAAATCAAAAATTTTTAATTTTAAATACTTTCTAAGATAAGGGCTATTTTTCTCTCTCAATATATATGTTGTGACAAAAAAATTGTGACACATACTGTGATGTCAATGTCACACTACTTGTAAAATACATATGCAGAGTAGGGCCACTGTGGACATTATAATGTGACATCAGTGTCTACTGTATACACACAACATATGCAGGTTTTGACATATCAAAAGTACCAGAGTGTGACTCAGGGATTGGGACACTGTGGGCATCACAAATGTGGCATTAATGATACACTGTATATAGACACTATATACAAGTTTTGTACATGAATGGTATCACATTGTGACTCCAATGTAACACTTCATATACAAATCACATAAAGATTCAAAAACACCTAGTGAGTATCACAGTGTAACTCCAATGTCACAATGCAACTACACATTATATGTATTGTTTTTTCATGGTGTGGGCATAAAAAATGTGACTCCAATGTCACACTGTAAAACAAACATCATATATGTAGTATTTTGCACAGGGTGGGTATCACACAATGTGATTTAAATATAACATTGCAAAAATATTGAGAGAAAATAAAGGGGGAGAGAGAATAGGGAGAAGAGAATAATGATGGGAGAGAGAATGAGCTTGAGATAGAAAATAGAGGGGGAGAGAGAGAAAAATAGAGATAAAATAGGGAGCGATATTAATGATGAGAGTCAACTATAGGGAGAGAATAGAAAATCTTTTTAAAACTAATGGAATCTTTTTAAAATTCAAACGATCAATTATCCTTTAATTTAGGAAATCACTTAACCACTAAAATAGAATAAAAAAAAAAAGGAAATTGTACCACTAAAATATGAAACTAAATCCCACAGTTAACTAGGTAACTTATCTTCCATGAATAAAGGAAAATGACTTTTACATAAATAAAATATTTAAAAAAAGTAAAAGTATATCTGTTCACAAAACATTTACAAAAAAAAGACATACACAAGATTTATATTAAGGTACTTCACAAATAACTAGTATGTAGTATACAAAAAAAAATTTCCCGTGAAAAGGTACACTATACACTAGTTATTTGTGAGGAAGCATCTTAATATAAATTTTCTGTGTATAAGTCCTTTTTCGTGAACAGATACACTTTGGCTTTTTTTAAAAAAATTATTTCATTCATGTAAAAGTCATTTTCATTTATTTGTGGAAGCTAAGTTAGACAGTTAACTGTGGAATTCAGTTTCTTATTTTGTTGGGACAATTTTTTTATTTTCTATTTTAATGGCCAAGTGATTTCCTAAATTAAAGGATAATTAACCGTTTGAATTTTAAAAGGATTTTATTAGTTTTAAAAAGATTTCTTACTCTCTCTACATATTTGACTCTTTCTGTTAATATCTCTGTATTTTATTCCTCAAACTCATTCTCTCTCCCATCGTTACTCTCCTCTCTCTATTCTCTCTCTCCCTCTTTTATTTTCTTTCTCTATTTATTTGTGATGTCCACTTTGTGCAAAGCTCAGCATATATGATGTTTGTTTTGCAGTGTGACATTGGAGTCACATTTTTGATGCACACACCATGAAAAAATAATGCTTATGATGTATAGTTGTATTGTGGCATTGGATTCACACTATGATATTGACCACGTGTTTTTAAATATTTATATGATGTGTGTATGAAGTGTTACATTGAAATCACAATGTGATACCATCCATGTGCAAACCCTGAATATGGTGTCTATATGCAGTGTGACATTGATGCTCATAATGTGCCAATCCCTGGGTCACACCGTGGTACTTTTCATGTGTCAAAACCTGCATATGTTATGTGTATATAGTGGATATTGATGTCACATTATAATGTTCACAGTGACCCAACTTTTTATATGTATTTTACAAGCAGTGTGACATTGGCGTTACAATTTTTTGTCACAAAATATATATATAGAGAGAAAAATAGTTCTTATCTTAGAAAGTATTTAACAGGACATAGTTCAATAAGTTCATTCGAAAGTCTCAAATAGATTCATCTAACGGTCACCAACATCCTTCTCAAATAAATTCATCCAATGGTTACTAAAATCCCTTTAAAAAACATTCACATTGAATTCGCCTTTCCAAATCCATCACTTCTCACTTATATTGCACTGTTCCTTCAAGTACGGGTTACTCCTAATACATATATGAGAGAGAGAACAAAATAGTTATAATATAAGCAAATTCTAAAATTAAGAATTTTAGAAAGAATTGAAAAAAATTTCAAATTAAGAAATTTAAAATTTATTTTAGTTTTGAATTTAGTTATGTGTGTGTGTGTGTGTGTGTATATATATATATATATATATATATATATATATATGAGATATAAAGTAGGCCTGACAATCATGTTGAGTGGAACGGTTTTGTGTCGGGTGGAACTGGTTTATGTCAAAAAATCCTTCATCTATATCCCATTAGTTTATATAAACGAGTCCAACTATCACATCTTTACACGAATCATTTATTAGACGGGTTACCCGATACAATCCGTGTGTCACCCGCTAAATAAGAGAATATGTTGGAATAGTTCGAGTACATACAAAAAGTCATTAACTTACTACACATTAAATAACTACTAAATTTGAATGAGTCTAAGAGATGGGAGGTGTGAGATGAGACAGAAGCTGAGAATCCTAATTTTTTTAAAAAAAATTATAGTACCATTGTTAACGGGTTAAACGGGTTGAAACGAGTTTATAGGTTAAACACAAAACTGATTCATTTATTTCACAGATTTGTCAAGTTAATCCGTTAACTACCCGAATCCGTTAAGACTACACTCAAACCGCTAAATCCGTGTCGGATTCGTGTCGATATCACAAGTCGTGTTTGTTATAGTTAGTTAGCTCTTCACATCAATGCCAATCTAGTATTCCAAGAGAGGATCAAACATATCGAAGTTCATTTTATCACTCATCATTTTATCAACTCTATCATGACAAGATACTAAAGTGAGAAATTGCAACACTTGAGAAATCCAAAGATTAACCGATGGACATGTTTACTAAGGCATTGAATCATACTTGTCTAAGAACTAACTATTCCAATCTTGGATTACAGGATAACATACTCCAGCATGATGAGACCGTTGAGAATATTTATAGTATAGAGTTGTTATTACTTATTTTAGATGGTTGTAATAAGTATACCGCTTTCAGGGTATACTCATCTTTTATGTTTCTTGGAAAACTATAAATATAGGTTGAGAGAGAGAGAGAGGTGGGGTATGATTCCACTTCTCAGCCTCCTCTCATAATTTTTCTTCCCAACTCTCTATTTTCTAAACTTAGCAACGTTTAATGAATCAACAAAGGAGATAATGCCTTATGGTACTTCAGAAAAATCATTGGGTAAAAACTAAGAAGCATGAACACAGATACGACACGATATGGACACACAATCACATTTTTAAAAAAAGTAGGATACAAATATGCTATATATAATTTTATTTTATATATAAATCAGTGTTATTTAAGGCGTAAAGCGAACCGAAACGACCAAGACTCCAAACGTCCAGGCGAGAAGTGAAGCAAAACGCTTTACCAAAACGAAGCGAACAGTTAAAAAAAAAAAGTAAATATTTTAGTTTAATTATTTCTAAACATCTAAGTTCTAATTTTATATATACTAAATATTTAAATGCAAATAAAATCATAAAACCATAAATATTTAAATTAAAACACTATCACACTATAATCAAAGGAACAAAACACATTCACATGTACTGAATAACATAAGTAGAATCAGGACAACAAGAGAAGCAAAATGAGAAAAAAAAATAGAAGCATAATCAGCAAAAAAAAAAAATAGAAGCGGAATCAAAAAAAAAAAAAAAAAAACAGAAGTAGAAAAAAAAAAAAAAGAACCAGAAGAGAGAAGAAGAATCAGAACCAGAAGAGAGACAAAAAAAGGAGAGAAATAGAAGAGAGAAGAAAAATAGGAGACTTGCCTGTGATCAGCGAGGAAGGAGCAATGATCGTGTTTGTCGACTCTGTCCAGGCATCGTGTCGGATAGCAGCGATCGTCTCTGTGTCCAGCAATCTGTGTAAAATTAGGGCTTGGGGACTATATTTATGTGATAATGGGATAATTTGGTGTATCAACATCTTATAATTTTTTTTTCAATTGCCCAATCTAATGGTCCATAATAAAATAAAACAACTCCACCACGCATGGCTAAGACGTTTGCTTTTTTGCCTTTCGCTTAAGTGAAAAGTGCTCGCTTTTATCGCTTTTTTCTTGCTTCAGTCACATTTGCTTCGCTTGAGGTGCTCAAGGCGAGATACCTTTGCTTCGCTTCGCTTCTCGCCTAGGCGAGCTTTTCAAAACACTGCATAAAATTATATAATTACAATTATAGTGATAATGATATATTATTTGTAAAAAATTTAGTACTTTATGGTAAGTAAATTTTATGTATAGTCATCTAGTATGAATTTTTAGACTAATATTATAATAATCAATAATCGATAATCATCAATCTTTTCGTAGACGTGTACCAAAACATATATAATTTAAATAATTACTTTTATTTTCTCAATTATTTTTTTAAAATCTTTTATGCATCTTTTGCGTTTGTTATTATATTTTGATTACAACTTTATCATTTTTAATTTTAGTAATTAGATGTTCTCTTATAATATAAGATACTTATTAGTCAAATTTTTAATCATTGTGAATCACATGTTAACATGTTTATTGTTTAGTAGTACGCATAATCTAAAGAAGTGTCAGACATGCAACCAAAGAAGTGTCGGACACGTGTCCAAATTAAAACTTTATCATTTAATTGTGGACACGGGTAAAAGAGTATTGGACAAGTGACTAAGAGAGTTTGAGGAGTGTCGATGTCTGATGTGTGTTCGACACAGACACGTCATCTTCTTGAGAGTGTCTGTGCCTCATAGGGTAAAGATGTAGAGCAAAAACCCTAATAATTATGATCTTCCTACAAGAATATGAAATACAGGTTACCTCCAAAGATTGAGACCCCTTATGTGCACTTAATCCAAAAAGAACCTTTGATCACAACAATTGGAGTGAACCCACTTGCAAAAAAACTTCTCCAACTGTGGGTGTTCCAAGTACTTCTTGATTAACCTTGTTCTCCCTCTCTACAGATTAGGGGTTCAAAAGTCTCCCGTAAAAGTGAAGACAAGAGGTTTTATATAGGTGTGTTTTGTAAATCCTAAGTCAAAGTGCAGATATAGTCTTTCGGCACCAGTATTTAAGGTCTCCTAAGGCATTGTAGAAGTATTAGAGTCAATTTGGAATCTATAGCATCACAAATGGACCTTGGATGTGTGTAGGAGAAGATATTACAAACATTGTTGTTAGTATCGTACGATACGCGATACGTATCGTACGATACGTTACGATACAGCCCTAAAACGATACGGATCGTAGTTATGTATCGTTTTTGCGTTGTATCGTCCGATACACGATACGTTTTTACGATACGATACGTATCGGTACGATACGCACGATACGTGCAATTTTTTTTTTTTTTTTTTTTTTTAAAACGACGTCGTTTTGTGCTCTGATTTTTTTTTTTAAAAAAAACGACAAGTGAAGACTTGTTGGCATCCGATCACAATGATGATGATGATGATGCATTTTCAATTGAAATTGAAGATTGAGTTCAAAATAGATGTTAGAAATTTGAATTGAAGTCTCTTTGGTGTTTAAAGTTTGAATTAGTGAACTATGGTTGTGAACTTTGCATTATAATAGTAGTGGATTATGTTGATAACTTGAATAATTGGTGGAGTATTAATGAAATGCTATATTTTTTATGAGTGTATGACTTTTTTTCAAAGGTATATATATTTTTTTATTATTTATTTAAAATTGCATCGTATCTTACGATACACGATACGATACACGATACGATACAATATTTGTATCTTACGATACGCCTTCCGATACACGATTTGATAGAAGATATTACAAAAACAAGTGGAACTGGTCATGTGGCAATCTCCATCCTTGAGGGGCATTGGTGGCATTTGGAAAAATGTTTTCAAGGTTTTCATTGTGTGCTGCAGCTGTAAACAGTACCTCAGCCTCTTGGTTCTTCTTCTTTTATATTATTTTGGCATTTTCTCACTTAGTTGTGGTCTAGATGGTCCATTTTTAGTGCTCGTATCTTTTTCAGCAAACCACCATTTTGGGTGAATGAGAACGACCTGTCATTGGAAAACTTAAGAAGTCGATTTCATTTATATTAGTTTCATCTCAAAACTGAACACTGGTTGAGAGTTTTGTACAAAAGTATCCAAAAAGGTCATTTTAAAACATATTGCTGGAACACCTACTATATCTTCTTTGTTAAAAATTGGCTTGAGACTTACCATATATTCCTAAAAAGCTCTTTACCAAAATAGATTAGAAAAATGGGGTATCCTTATTTTTGTATTTATTTATTTATTTATTTTCGGGGGGGGGGGGGGGGAGGAGTATGGGAGGGTGTGTACTATAGAGTTATTCTGATTTGTGGATGTCAAGATGGTCAAACATACAATTCTATGGTTAATTTTAGGCTAAATATGGCTTTTCCTAAGGTTCTTCATGATGAGAACATGATTGAGCTTGGGCAGTACCACCAACTACTTTGGTTCATTTAAATTGGTCCACTTTGTTTCTTTCAATGGGGTTCTGGAGGCGAGGCCCTAAGCTAAACTATTGGTTCAAAATGGGGTATCTACGAACCCCACTGTGCCTTTGTAGTTTCTACTTGCTCTGTGTAGTAATTTTCATGGGGCTTTTATGCAACTAACTGGTTGTCTTACCTCTTGTTTTTGGAGCAGGACATGCAAGCACTGATCAACAAAATCAATAAGTCTATTGTGGCACCACTACCAACCAAATACTCCGGTGCATTGTAAGTCCATAATTTACATTACTTTTGTAGTAACACAGGCCCAATACGCATTGTGGCAGCAAAATAATATTTCCTGTTATCTTGGTTTTGCCATCTGGGATAATTAAAGGACTTATTTACTTAATCCAGTTATACACGAGCAAGGAATAAAATGATAACCAGGATATCGATTATTGATGTAGCAACTTAATCGATTTGGTTGCTTGAAAGGCAGATAAAATCCTATTTCTGTGATGCCTATGATATTTTCAGTTTCCTCATGAGAGATGGTGGTTTTCTTCACAGTCTATTATTCAATTATTAGCTCAATCTAATGGTTTGCCTCATTTCTTTCTCCCAGTCGGGGCCTCATTAAAAGCATGCTGCGGAAAAATCCAGAACTTCGGCCAAGTGTATGTACTGTTTTGTGTTATGCGGTTCATGCTTTCTTTGGTAGAAGAATCAATACAAGTATAGAACGACTGCCTAAGACGACCTATGAGATTCATTTCCTGTGACTGTATTATTTTTTCATATTTGTTCTTGATTTTTCCCCCAACAAGGATAAATATTTCCAACATGTTGCCATGCCATAATGTGTATGTCATAGTCCAAGGGTGCTGTCATTCTTCCCTTCTCAGATCATCAGGCTAAAGGGAGAATAATGTCCTTAATTAAATTTTTCTGTCATTTTGGCAAGAAGACTTAATGAGTAGTCATTAAATGTGGTTGAAATTGTAGGCCATAGCACTGAGACCAGTATAATTGAAATTATTGTCAAATATATCTGTCAGGCTTTCTTACCATTTGCCATATTATGATTTCATTAAACATGTTGGGAACAAGTACGGAAATTCATCATATTGGATAAATTGTTGGCATAGACATGTTCATATCAGGATTCTTAATTGGGTTTGACTTCCCATAATCAAACACATATACATTTTTTTTTTGGATACAAATTGGGACAATCATTGACTCATCAACAATTAGAATGTTCTGCTGTAACAATTGTTGGAGTTATAGCAGCCTAGTTTATTAGAGTTGTTCCCTTTTTTTTCACTTTTTTATCCTTATTGTATATTTTATTGGCTATATATATGGGGGTTCTACACTTAATTTGTATTCCTTTTCACTCACGTTTATTCCAAGTTGGTATTAGAGTAACCTTCTCCATCATCCTCACCTTCAGCTGCAGCAGCGAACCAGCCAGCTGCTACCAGCGACAGCAGCTACACCAACATATACCAGAAAACATTAAACCAACATACTTTAGCAGCCCCGCCACCCAGCCCTCACCTCACAGAATATACAAAATAGAAAACATTAAACCCACCTTCACCGACCATATCAGAACATACTTTCTCCGACACTGACCGACAAACCACCTTCACTGACCAAACGAATCCAACATACCTACACCAACATATACCGACAACATTAAACCTTAACTACCCAACATTAAAACCTTATTAAACCCAAGTCTACATTAAACCTAACTCACCGACACAGAAATTGTCTTGCCTTCATGCGCTTTCGTGCGCCGTGCTCTTCGTCGTGGTGCCGCCATTTCTTTGCGTCACGGCCTTTTTTCCTACGGTTGTAGCTTCTAGGACCTTTTAAGAGGGGTTGAATCCTCTTTTTTGTTGATCTGCTCTTGATGCAATAGATCACTTATTTATATTTTTTGGATTTTTGGACACCGTGATCTGATTATTTGGGAGTTTTCAGGACCTTTTGTTGTTATTGTTTGACTTGAGGTATATTGTTCTCCCTTATATTATCCCTCTATTTATGTTAAGATTTATTTTTCTGTCACGGGTGGCCCTAGTATTGTTGATGATATGACTACTACTGAGGGACTTGAGACCCCTACTGTTGACACCTCTACCGTTGAGACATCTATTAGTATTTTCACTTTTATGTTTGACCACTATATAGTACCTACTAGCACAATTGTATTACTAGCACTGATAGGTATGATCTCTCAGAAAGTTATGGCAGAGGTGTTGAATAGTCGTAACTTCGCTGAGTGGTCTCGCTCATTCTAGTTTTTCTTAGGTTGTGTAGGGAAGCTTGGTTAGTTGACGGGATCTCTTTCAACGCCAGTTGATGATGACCCTGAACTACCCCATTTTTGGATAGTTATTTGGCTCGATAGAGCCATCTGTTTGTAAGATTCACCAATTTTATAGATTTGTTTCAAAGCTATGGAGCGCATTATCAGAGATGTATTCCCAGTCAAGACGAGGAGTTCGTGTTTATGAGCTTTCTCAAGAGCTCTCATATGCTTGGCAGGGAGATATGACTGTTCAAGATTATTATGGCTATTTGACCCAACGTTGGTTTGAGTATGAGACTCTACGTCCTCTTGTTGTTATTCCAAGGATAGAGTCCGAGGGAGCAACATTCTTGTATACTCGAGAGCAAAATGATAGGATTCACAAGTTTTTTATGGGGCTTCATGATGAGTTTGAGGGGTCTCGTTCCCAGATCTTGTCGATGCTGACACTTCTGTCCTTTTATGAGGTGTTTACGATGATTGAGCAGCATGAGCGTCGTATCCGAATTGCATCACTTCCAATTGCAACATTGACTCCTCAGGCTGGCCAGATGGCCCTTGCAGCTATTGTAGGGGCTTGTTCAGGACCCTCAGCTAGGGGTGGACAGCGCTCGGACCAGCGCTGTCAGGGTAGCCCAGATCAGCGTAGACAAAGGGATCTCAGGGCTCCTTATTGGAAGCTCCATTCGGAGCTTAAGTCGTTTCCTCGTAGTCATACTGCTACCATTGTTGAGGCACCACCGCCTACAACCATTGCTCTTGCTACTACTGCTACTGCTCCTCCTTTGCAGAGGGATATGGATGCTATCACTTTTCGCTTAGATATAACTATGTCAACCTTGACTTTTCAAGGTTCAACTACTACTACTACAATTACTATAGATATATCTCGTGTCTTTCATGTTTGCGCTAGTTCGTCTCTTATTTGGATGTTGGACTTGGGTGCGAATGGTCATATGATGGGTGAGACTTATTATTTTATCACTTTTGACGAGCAGTTACATACACAGTTTCAGTTAGCAGATGGTATACATGTCCCTATTGTTAATAGGGGTACAGTCCACCTCCAAAATGGCTTTACATTACGTTCGGTGTTTCATGTGCCAAAGCTGGCCATAAATCTATTATCTGTATATCAGTTAGTTAGAGATTTTCATTGTGCAGTTGTGTTCTTATCTGATTCATATTATTTGTAGGACCTGAATACTAGGAGGATTATTATCAGGAGACATGAGAGAGATGGACTATATTATCTAGGCGATCTACCTTCGGTTTCACCAGTTTCTCCACCTCCACCTCCATCACCTGTTTTGTCTTTATTTGTTCTTAACTTGCATGCTGATATTTTACTTAGTGCTTGTTGTTATGATTTTTCATCAGTGGCATGACGGTTTTGGACATACAAATTTTAAATATTTATGTATGTTATTTTCTGCTTTGAGCAATGTTTGTGTTAGTGATAAACTCGATTGTGTTATATGTTCTTTATCAAAATATGTTTGGACCAATTATACTCCTGGCATACATCAGTCACACAAACCATTTGACCTAATACACTCTGATATTTGGGAACCCTCTCCTGTTACTACTTTATCATGTGCTCGATACTATGTGACATTTATAGATGACTATACCCGTTGTACTTGGGTCTACCTTTTGCATAGGAAGTTTAATGTACTCTCTGTCATCACTCAGTTTCTTCAGATGATTAAGACACAATTCGATGTCATTGTTCGTGTTATTTGTTCGAATAATGCCAAAGAATATGTACCTGATATCTTAGTGTCTCACCTTTCTTCTCAGGGTATCCTTCAGCAGTTCACCTATTTATATACTCTTGAGCAAAATGCAGTTGCTGAAAGAAAAAATAGGAGTTTGATAGGGATAGTTCATTGTATGCTTAGAGGTACGAGCACACCAAAATCTTATTGTTATTTTGCTATTTTGACTTTTACCTTTTTGTGTAATCGTACACTGAATCGTGTTCTTCAGCATAGGGCTCCTTTACAGGTCTTATTCCTTGAGCGGATATTTTTTTCAGTCCCTCCACGTATTTTTGGTTGCACATGTTTTGTTCTGGATCGGTCTCCTACTTGCCATAAGCTTGATGATAAAACGATTTGTTGTGTCTTTGTGGGCTATTATCATTAGTCTAAGTGGTATCAATGTTATGATCCTGTTAGGTGACTTATGTATCACAGTCTAAATATTATCTTTTTTGAGCATATTCCTTATTTTTCTTCGAGTCCTATGTCTGTCCCTCCAGATGATAATACTCCCTTTGATTTTCCATTACTACAAGAGCAAGTCATTGGTCACTATCACTACAGAGCCACTAGTCTCTCCTCCTCCAGAGTCACTCATCCTTGTTAGTACTGAGTCACTAGTCTCTCTTCCTTTGCAGGTTTATGTTCGTTACCCTCGCTCTTATCCCCCTGGCGATGGCTCCTCTACCTCAGGCAATGCAGGTAATACTTTTCAGTTTGTTGAGCATATTTGATGCACCTGTTGTTAGTACTAATGAGATTATAGGTACTGAGTTAGTTAATTTACCCGATGAGACATTGTCAGTAGAGGATGATGATTTAGGGTATCGTTATCCGCGGCGTGATCGCTTTCCAGTTGTTCGTTATGGTTGGACTGTCAGGACTTTATATTCGATCTTTGCTTATGTTTCTTGTGCTGATTGTTTCCTACATTTCGAGCTTATAATATGACCTTATCAGATACGCCGGTTCCTCACTTTGTTTCAGAGGTTATGCGGGAGCCCTAGTGGGTTCTTGCCATGCAAACGGAGATGGACGCTCTTCAGCGTAATCATACATGGGATCTTGTCTCTTTACTTTCAGAAATGAAACCTGTTGGCTGTCATTGGATTTACACTCTGAAGTTTCTTGCAGATGGTACTATTGATCGTCACAAGGCTAGGCTTGTGACGTAGGTCTTTACTCAGATACCAGGTCGTGATTTTAGTACAACCTTTGCCCCTGTGGCAAAATTGACTACTGTTTGATTGATTATTTCTTTGGCTGCGAAGTACTCTTGGCCTCTTCATCTGTTGGATGTGAAGAATGCATTTTTTCATGGTGATCTGGACGAAATTATTTATATGGATGCACCACCGAGTTTTTGTAGTGAGAGGGAGTATGCTGGAAAGGTATGCCGACTGCATAAGTTTCTTTATGGATTGAAACCGTCACCACGAGCTTAGTTCTCTCACTTTAGTGGTGTAGTTGTACGTTTAGGGTTCACTAGATATCATTCTGATCATACTTGCTTCATTCGACGGAATACTTCTTGATAGTGTGTCATCTTTTTGGTATATGCTGATGATATTATTATTATCAGAGATAATATTTTTGGGACTGTGCAGGTCAAAGTAGACCTTGGGAAGGCCTTCGATGTGAAAGACTTTGGATTTCTGCGATACTTTCTTGGGATTGAGGTTGCCCGTAGCAACAGAGGTATTGTTCTTTCTCAGAGAAAGTATGTTCTGGATTTTCTCTCAGACACTGGGATGTTGGTGTACAAATTTGCATTATCACCTATGATTTCAAACCTGAAGCTTACTGCTGAAGGTAAGGAGTTGAGAGATTCGACTGTCTATCAAAGGTTAGTAGGTAGACTTATCTACCTAGCCAATAATAGGCCAGACATTTCATTTGGTGTCAGCTGAGTTAGTCAGTTCATGCACAGTCCATGTCAGCCTCATCTTCATGTAGTTTATCATATTCTTCGGTACTTCAAGTCTTGTTCTGGACTTGGGTTGTTCTATGCATCAGGATTTTAGACTGTCGATCTACTACGAGCTTTTGTACGAGCTTCAGGATTTCAGGATTTCAGACTGTTATTCAGAATCAGATTATTAGGGAGCGCATGACGGTCGATCTACTACGAGCTTTTGTACTTTTTTAGGGACTCATCTTATCTCTTGGAAGAGGAAGAAGCAGTCAGTTGTCTCTTGCTTGTCATTAGAGGCAGAGTATCGGGATACTGACACTTGGTACATGTGAGATTATTTGGCTATGATCGATTCTTGGCAAGTTAGGAGTGCCAACGACTTCTTCATTTAAATTATATTGTGATAATCGATCTGCTATTCAGCTCGCTTCTGACTCTGTATTAGACGAAAGGATAAAGCATATAGAGATCGATGTTCAATTTCTTTGGGAGAATGTTAGCAGTGGTATTGTCACTCTGTCATTTGTAAGGACCAATGATCAGGTTGCGGATGTTTTTACCAAACCTGTTACTCTATCCATCCTTTGGTACTCCGTTATCAAACTTGGCTTAGTTGATTTTTTTTCGCCTAACTTGAAGGGGAATGTTGGAGTTATAATAGCTTAATTTATTAGGATTTATTAGAGTTGTTCTATTTTTTTTTATTTTTTTATCCTTATAGTATCTTTTATTAGTTATATATACGGGGGCTCTACACTTTGTTTGTATCCCTTTTCACTCACGTTTATTCCAAGTACAGTAAAATAGTGATTTTTTATGACACTGTTCTTTCCTCCTATTATTTCTTCTAAGTTTTCCCTTTTTGATTGCCAAAATTTACTATTGAATTTAAAGGGATGCAACCTATGTACAAGGCACTATTTGGGTTAGCTTTAAAATTTAACACATGCTGTGTCGCTTTCTGATCATTTCAGAAAGCATGAACAATGCATGCTTGCTAAATTGATGGGATGTTCTCAGGAAAAAAATGTGGGTGTGTTGTGACATTAGGAATAACAAAGATCATGATGCTACAGTCAGAGGCATGGCAGTACTAGCGCCCCAACTGGTTGGGTGGCTATGTAATATTAGGGTGTTGGTTTTCACACAAAAGGTTTTATTGGTGTGGAGATGTTTGAGGTACAGTAATGTCATTGGGGCAAGTACATATGATGGTGTTGTTGGCATCATTAGTTGTCTCAGTTGTGGTACAGGAAATCCCTTGCTAATCATGCATGTGATATATGATTGGCAATGAAATTCTTTATTAAAAAATTATAATTTCCATTTTTCATTGACTTAAATATGTTTAAGCTAATATTATTATTTTCCCATGGACTTATTCAGTAGACCTTTTCTTATTTTCCTTGCATACTGTATTTTTCTCTGCTTCCTAAAGACATGAATTATTGTCCTAAATGCTAATTATAAGTGCTTAAGCTATTATTGTGGTCCGCCACCACGTGATTATATAAGCAATCAATAAACTAAATTTGTTTTTATTGTGAAGCAAAGGTTGAGCAACATGCTGGACAGGTTGGTATGTCAAAGAGTATTGTACATAGGATAGTATGTTGTTGTGTGGTGTTCTGGTGATAGTGTTGACTAGTGATAATTGTGATGGTAGTACTACTAGGAAATCCCTCCACAAATCAACTCAACTCTATTCTGTTAATGAGCATGATTTTATCCAGCATTTTCATTTTCGTAAAAGCAAGAATTACTTTTTAACTGTTATCCACCTCATGTATTTGAAATTTTCTTGTTTTAAAAGAAAAGCTCTCGTAAGACTATTACTTTCAGAAGCTAAACAAATAGTCTGCAAGGCACATGTGGACTATATGTTCTGTTAATGAGCATGATTTTATCCCAGCATTTTCATTTTACTTAAAAGCATGAATTGCTTTTTAACTGCTATCCACTTAATATATTTGAACTCTCCTTGTTTGGAAAGCAAACTACTTGGTAGGACTATAACTTCCTGAAGCTTTTAACAAATAGTCCACAAGGCACATGTGGATGACATCTTGAAAGTGTCCTTAGGCAAAGGGGCCTATGAAGGGAAAAAAAGGCTGTGTTTGGCGATGTAATTGAAGAATCTTTTTCTGTAAGCCAAAATATAAATAAGATCTGAAAATATATCACTACTGAGAGCAAGCCTTTTTATCCTTTTATCTATTTATGACAATAACCATAAGCAAAACACTTCCACAACCACCTCCTCGTTGGCCAAACTACCATGACGACTCGTTAGTGCTTTAATTAATTTTTAGTTTTCTATTTTTCTTGCAAGGACTCTGTTTTTTTCCAAGGAAAACAACACCAAGGTGGTAAAATGTCGAAGACACTATTCATCACCACTGCCACTTCCACTATTTTTATCATTACTGCTCACCCAATCATTGTTGCATCCTCCTTCTTTGCTGTGTTGCTATACCCTCTTATTCTGCCACTGATATTGCTATCATGACTTTACCACAAAGGCTTTAAGACAAGTGGCATGGCAACTCCATAACTATCTGTTATTGCCTTATGCTGCTACCACTTTCAACAAGATGCCGAGTTTTTTTTCTTGTTATTGACAGTAGTTGGAAAGATATTTTTGCACTAATTGCATTGTGGCAAGGACCAATGATGAAAAATAGGTGAAAGTTTCCTTGTTGCTTTTCCATTTAGTTCTGCAAAGCATAGTTAAATGGTGATCGAAGCTTTTTTAGTTCTTAGAAGAAAGGCCCCTGTATTAGCGATGTACCTCTTCTGCTTTTCTATAGATTGCAATTGAAAGAATAGTGGGCCATGATAAAAGCTTGTCTTTATATCATGCAATTTATAAGTGTTTGGTGTGGCAGGCTGCAGTGCTTCTCAGACACCCTCACCTTCAACCCTACGTTCTTAAGGTTCATCTCAAATTAAATAGCCCTAGGCGCAACAGTTTACCCACTCACTGGCAATATCCAGAGGAAGAAGATGTTCCAGTTTCAACAATTAGAGAGAAGCGGCTGTCATTTGGAAATGACAGGACTTTGAATCCAAGTATATCGGGAGCTGAGCAAGATTCTTCTGTCAATACTCAAAGAAATCCATGTACCCCTAGTTTTTTGAATCGAAAAATGGCAGAATTGTCTGTTGGCAGCACACATGAAGTCACAACCATCAGCAAGAGAGTTGTTTCAAAAACTTCAAATGTTGCCAAGAATCAAAGATTGACTCCAACAAAAACGTCTGACACTACTAAGAGACAAACTGAGCTATTCAAGAACCGTGAACTGGTAAGACCAAATTGTTTACATTTCATTTCCATTTTGCAGTGGTTATGAATAAATTTTTTTGTGTTGTTATAATTATATTCTTGGTCTTACTCATAGTTCTGCTTCAAGAACAGTGGTTATTGAGAGAGCTTGTCATTGAACAAGGCTGCCTGTTGTAAAAAAATGTCAATGATTTGAAAACAAAAATAGTTACCCAAATTAAGTGTTTGTCATGTAGCGTGCTTGTTCATTTATTACGAGTTTGTGGGGGGAACAAGCCAGTTTCAAAAATTGAACATTATTAAGAGTCTTATAATTTTAAAACCAATCATTTTCTTGTTCAATGAGTGCCGTGAGAGCATAACTTTTTCTTGTTAATAAGGAACAATATACTTGTTGATTGTCATTTGTACTGGTAAATAGACGTTGGTTAGCTTTGTAGGTTTATGAATTAAGAGAAGTATTAAATAAAGCTTGCAGAACTTCAGACATGATGAGACGCACTTATATTTTGTGACTTCATAAAAGATAATTTGTTCGAAACATTCTAGATTCTTAAACCCATTGTTAGTGTTGGCCTATGTCAGAGTAAATGCATCTATTCTTCTATGAATTGTGAGTTATTTGGATGCTATTGTAGAAATTCAGATGTTTGCCAAGAGCAGTGCCCTTTCACACTCGTAGATACTTGAATTGCACCTTTATAATGAATGTAATTCTAAACAAATTGTTCTTGAAAAGTGATTAGGTAATTTTACATGATAATTGGTATTGTTAATTGTAATCTTAAAGCTAAGTATGATAATTTTTTTGTAATTTTTTGACTTAATTGGAGGTAGATTTAAAATGTAACAGAGATATGATTAGAGTCTGAAGCATGAAAAAGAGAACAATTACTGTTTGAGAAACATTGTTAGCATTAGATTTGTGTTTTTGACTGATAGAATCAATAAAGAATTAGCAAGTGAACACCCTATTACTATAGCAAGAAATAAAAGGAAAAAAAAATGGGAAATCCTCATGAAATTTGTCTGTGGCATTATCTGAAAATTGACTGGTATTAGTTTTCAGTATTTGTCTACTGACAAACATAACAGGATAGGTTATTTTATATGTTTACTCATCGAATTTGAAAATATCTACCCATATATAATATATAATGCTTAGCAATATATATTGGTACAAAAATGTGGAAATTAAGGAAAGCTAAGAAAATTATTTTTAGAAATTTTTAAATGGACATGATGGGGGCAGCTTAGGTGTCCAAGAATATAACAACTTGGGGTTTGGCAAAATAAGTTTTTTTGCAGGATTAGGGTGCGAAGTGATTAATGCTTTAAAGTATATAAAGATTGACAAAGCTTTAGTGCTTGATGGTATACAAATTGATGTTTAAACAGAGATACCAAGATCACTAGTACCACTGGCGGCCCAAGGTCGCGTGATCCTAAACTAGGCGGTTTCGTAGTCTAGATTACTCAACTTTCCAAGTCCAAATTGTAACCTATCTTAAATTAATCGATTCTAAATTAAAACAAATAAGAAAATTTATGATAAATAAAGGAAAATAAATATTAATGGAACACTCATAGTGCATCTAACGTTAGCTAGATCGTGGATCGACGATTTGGTTTGTGGTATCGGTAGACACTTTCTTAGGTATGTAATGCAATGGGTATGCTTAGTTGGTACGGTATTTTGATTGTAACCCTTACTTAGATGGGTTTCACTATTACATAAAGTTATTTATAATATTATATCAATGAAAAGATAGTTATTTACTATTTATTTTGCATTTGTCCTTGATTTTCTACTATCTAAAATTTTCTTTAATTATACATCCATGCATAAATAGTTATTTAATATTAATTTATATTTGTGATTCATGTTTCAAAGCGAAACGATTTTGGGTTAGTATTAAAGTTTGAGGTCAGATATTTTGGTGATCTAGATTGTGAGTACACCCTATTTGGGATCTCTGTACCCAGATTGTGGGTGGGTTGTTAGGGGTTTAGCGATTTTTGGTAACTATACCAATTATTGAGGTATAAATTAAGGAGTCATACTGTAGAACTTTAGGTTATAGTGATAGAGCTATAATTAGTACTTAAAATAATAAATCTATTTTGCCTTTAGCCTATATTTTTTTTGCGTTAATTATGGATATAGTAACTAGGCACATTCATGACTAGTTTCCATTGTGTGTTTTTTGCCGATGATATAGTATTGATCAATAAAACTAAAGTAGAAACTATGAATAAATTAGAAGTTTAAAGAAAAACTGAGTCAAAAAGGATTTTAAAATAAGTAGAAATAACATTAAATACATGGAATATTATTCTAGTAGAAGTAAAGATTCAAATATTGAGGTAGTAAAGATCCAAACACCTAGAATGGGGGATTGTGGATGATTTTACACAAGGAATTAGAATAGATTTGGTCGGTATGGTGGAGAAGAGCGAGAGGAAGATGGGTATGGTGAAGAGCAAGGGAGATTTCAATGGTGAGTATACAAACACCAGATGAAGCTTAATGGATGAAAATTGGGCCATGGAAGAGTAAGAAATTATGCTTCAACAAGTGCAGTTCAGTCCCTTCCATATATTCCATATATTTTTTCTTGACAAATCTCGCTTGAAATCTCTCTCGTTACGCAACATTAGGCTCATTCAAATTATTCTTCAATGACCCAATTTCAATCTCTTTCTCAATCTTCACCTTATCAATCTCATTATTCTCTCTCTAACAGCTTCACTCTTTTCAGTCTCTAAACTTCTATTTTTCTATCAATCTCTACCCTCTCTTTCTTCCAAAGGGACCAAACTCATATATCTTGCTCTCAATTAGCTCAGCACATTGAGCCACATGCCTGCAAGAACAAAACACAAAACACAAAATTCCTCTCCAATTTCTGCTGGAAGGCTTTGTCACTCGGTCAACTCAACTCAAATTATAAAGCCGCCTTCTCTGAGTTGGCTTATATTCTAGAGATCCTTTTTACTGTAGAAGTGAGTCCACTGGTTGGTACCGCTCAACGGTCTCCTTGAGAAGCACAAACTTGAGGGATTTCAGCATTTCTAGCTTCTCTAAAGTCTCCTCCATGGGTTGGTTCTGGGAGACTTGATCTTGGTTTTGGGGTGATTTGTCTTGGTGGATCACCTTCTTTTGGTTGGTGGTTGATGGTTAGTAGTTGGTGGCGAAGTGGCAGATGGGGGGTGGGGTTGGTGCTAGCCAGGACTGAGTCAGGTGTGTGCATGCGTGCATTTGGGGTTGTGTCTATGGTACGTTATTAGCAGATGATGATGGTGATGAAGATGTTTGAATTATAGTAAAGGGTATTTTAGTCATTTCATTTCCAATGTGAGATCATTTTAATGTACAAATAGATTTTTTATGGTAATTTGGAAATTTTGAGAAAAAATCTTGCATGACATCATTATTTTTTTATGGTCAACAGAGACTGCACATCATAGGGGGTTTAAATAGAATGGATATGTAAAAACTAGAAAGGGGTGGAATGAATTTTCAGATAATCTACAGGTGGCGTGGATGAGGTTTTCCCCAAAAAATTTGACACGGTAACATGTCTTGGAATTTTTCTAAAAATTATAATCAAAGGTAGATCCTAGTTATTGTCCTTATAGTTGATCTGGTATATAGATTACTGTGAAGTGCTCCGAAGTGGGGCAATAGCAATGAATGAGTCATAATGATGCAATATTCCGTGTAATTCTAAAATGCACATGGTAGAAGAAAAGAGGTTGGGATGGGGACGATGTTGATAATGTTAACCAACTCGCATCTCTCCTTAAGGGCTACGTTGCATTGCAAAACATAAACATGAACACTCTCTCTAATGATCTCTAACCTTGGAATTATCAACAGCCATAGCTTTCTTTTTTTGGAACCTTTTCTGCGAGCAGTCCATGGGACAGCTGATATAGTAAAACTACAATGAACTTTGGCTTCATCCTTTCTCCCTCATGAAGAAGCTAGTTAATGTATCTGATTCAATTGATAGAGTCATGCAATCTTCTTCTGAATTTCACTATTGACTGCAAATCACCGAGCATTAACTTTCTACTTTTTGGCCCTAAGCTTGCTCATTAAGTTGACATCCTCAGTCAGTGATTACTAGTTAAGACGTCTTGTATTTGACTGTAAGTACATTTTTTATATCAAACTGTGACTGGCTAAATTGTTGTGACTTGTGAGCTCGTTCTTGAGAAATTTTGCATAGTTACCATTTGTGAGGTTTGATCTCCCTGTTTGACAGTTGCTGCAGATTACTAAAATAATTATTTTTCAGTTCTAAGAATTTATGGACTATATGCTTACCTATGCAGTTTTCAGCCTCAAGAAACCCCGTGGAAAAATCCGTTCCTACAACCCGCAGAGCATCTTTGCCATTGCCAAGAAGAGATGTAGTTCAGAAATCCTCTTTCAGGCCCAGTATTGGCATCCTCAACCAAACTAGCTCTCCGGATGTTTCTGTCAATGCCCCTCGGATAGACAAAATGGCTGAGTTCCCCTTAGCATCATACGAAGACCCCTACCTTCCCATTCCTAGAACTTCATCAGCCTCTGCACATGGGTCGTCCATCTCTCCAGAAGGTGACCGTTCGATAATGAAGGACAAATGCACAGTCCAGGTCCGTGACAGAACATTTGGCAAGCTGAGTTTTGCCGATGCTTGGCAGGGATTTGAAGGCACCACATGTCCTATGAACGCCGAGGATGTGAGTGACTGCTCAGATCAAAATGCAACAGCTGGCGCATCAAGCCGAACCTCATCAGATCAACGGCGCCGCCGTTTTGACACCTCATCTTACCAACAACGAGCTGAAGCATTGGAAGGATTGCTTGAATTCAGTGCAAGATTGATGCAAGAGGAAAGGCTCGACGAACTCGGGGTGTTATTGAAGCCATTTGGGCCAGGAAAGGTATCTCCTAGGGAAACTGCAATCTGGTTGACGAAGAGCTTCAAGGAAAATACAGTCAAGCCAGAAGATCTATATCAGTAAACAGCTGACACGATTAAAAATAGTCTTTGCTGCAACAGAGTTTAGGGTATCATCTGTTTTGTGCATGCTACTGTTGTTTTTGGTAGTACCTAGGATTTCACAACTTTTACCACTTTCACTTTTCATTTCATTTCATATGATAGGAATTCTGGATTTTAGTGATGGATGCACACGGATGAACAAATAGAATTTTTTTTGGGGAAGAACGTAATCGTTAGCAATAGCATCGAGAATTGATCGACCGTGAATTAATCCAAAAGATTTTGGAGTTGCTATTCATCACAATTTTAGAGGGTGTCATCAACTTGTTTGGAAGATGATATTTTGACTTGTTGTTGAATGTGTCCACTGACTGGTCAACTCTAGACTCTGAATTCAGAAGTTTGAGTTCAGAAAAATATTTTATTTCAATCCACCTTAACCAAAGCTTGAGCTAGGAATTTTTAAACCTGGGCTTTGAGTTAATAGTCAAAGTTACATTTTCTATGTTGGTGTTAAAGTGATTTTCTGCGATATGTATTTCGCAATATAAAATAGACATGCAATTATTTCAGGAAAAATGGTTTTTTTTTATTTTTTTTGGAGTACCAGAACTCTGAGCTGCGGACACGTGGAAAAAGTAAAGGATGCAGCTTCAAGCTACTTCTCTATGAATTTTTTTTTTATGCTCACACATTTTAGTTGCTGGGTTTATGTAATTTCAACAGTAATTAGGGAGGTTTGTGTAATTTATCAAGAATTTCATAAAACCATCCCTCCTTTGGCTATGGGACTATAAACTTGGAGAAACAATGTTTTGGCATGAAAACTATTGTTGATTACTAGCCAATTTCACCCATTCTAGACTAAAATGACCAACACACTTTTCTCTTGAGTATGAGCATTCCGTTTGCTGAATTAGCCAGAAGTTGATAGGAAGAGAACTTTGGAAAATTTCTTTGGGTAAATTACACTTTACTTCCTTGAACTATTACCCTTATTTTACTTTGTACCCTTAACTATAAAATTTCTCATGTTTCACCCTAAAATATTAATTTTATTTTATATCACTTCAATTGATAACGAATGTCAATTTTTTGACGATAAATGCGCATGTAAGTGGTCTATACTGTCAACATACAATTGTTTGAGGAGTAGGCCCCCTTAACTGAATAGAGACATTTCTGTTGTCATCAGCGTGACCCCTCCCTCCATCATAACGTGGAGCTTGCAACTTGAGATTTCTTTACAGGGGACCTTTCCCTTTCTGTCGAGTATTCACCATGGTCACTGTTCTTTCTAGAGAAGAAACTAGGAAAACTAGTCTTTTCCCACAGACGGTGCCAGATTGTGCGTGCAGGATCTTGCACAATATAAACACGAGAACAGATCTCTCCTATGGTGAACACGAGTCAGTCAATCGAATGGTCAACCTTGCTACTTGGAATAGACTGTGAGGACCGGTGGTAGCCTGGAACGGTAATGGGTGACTTTTGTGGGTCACGGGGGTGGTCCTGTAAGGCTAAGGGAGATTCCTGGAACAGAGAAAAACGAGTTAGGAGGGCGCCAGAGTGTTTTTCGACGTATCCCCTTCGACGATCAAGTCAGTTATTTGAGAGATGGGAATAAGAAAATACTGTGTATAGGTTTGAGAAAAGATTTTTGTGTACCTCGTCATGCGTTTTGTGAGGAGTATTTATACTTTAAAAACTCATAATTGCTGTCAGTATGGTCAGTATGTGATCATTAGAGGTGGGTAACGTGCACACTGGTTTTTAGGAGAAATGACCTCTTCCTTAACTACTCGGGACCCCAAGCAACCAATGCATCACCCTCGATTTGTTGAGCGTTTAATGACCTTCACTCGGCAGGGATATATTAAATGTTCAGTCATAGGAACATTCATTGTTTTTCACTTCCAGGTCTTCACGCATTAAATGCCGTCTCATCGAGGGAAAGGTGCATTAATCCTTACTTTCCCAAGTCGTGTGTCAGTAAGGGCATTCTGGTCTTTTTATCTCTGACCTGACACAATAAGCCACGTGCCAGCTCCCCTTTGGTTGAGTCTTCTACTTTTCTGTGCATCGTGACATCATCTAGGTAAGACCAGGTCATGATGGCTAATCTAGCCTAGCCAGGCTGATGACCTGTCTATCAATAACCTTGCAGGAACAGAAACGCCGATGTAGTGGATACACCTCGGTGCCGAGGGCTTAGTACGGTTAGGGGCCGATGTACCCCCCCAAATTCAACCGACGAATACGTGTCGCCTCGTGCATACCGGCGTCGTAGATCCTTATGCATAATACCCTCCTCGGGGGAAGAGGGATCATGATCCGACGAGCAAGTGTCTTGATCACAGCAGAGAGTATTTCTTTGACACCAACTACACATGTCGCTATCTTGGAGTGTTTGGAAAATGTCCCATCATGATGTTTTCACAAATTTTCAATAAGAACAAGAGGTAGCAGGGGCATATTCAAAAACTCCAAACACAACCAGGATTAGAACTTTGGTCTGTGGCATCAACATGCACCCCGAGAAATAAAAACACTGGAAAAAAAAAAGGGAAAGCCAATCACTAAGTTCAATTTCAAGCAATCAAACCAGGCAACAAATCCTAGGGGGAGTTTGGAGGAGGAAGGTAGAAGATAGCTTACTAACTGGGGGATTTACATAGCAAAGGCAGTTGAATCTCAAGGATAACAACGTAAGGGCAACTTTGGAGGGTACAGGCAAGCAGCAAGTATGCATGCCTGCACCTAATACAAATTTCACTTTGAAAACCAATTCAAAGTGTTACAGGTGCAAGATCTATAAATTTCACTTGAATATGCCCAAGTAACTTCATCCATCACTAAGGAGGCCATCAATCTGGTCGGGACAGAACTTGCAAACCACTAGCCTTCAGATTCACCATCCTGATAATATTAAGCAGCCAACAAGCATAATCCAAAATGCTTCCTAAAGGCAAATAGAAGCAAATGACCAGCACATGGAAGCAAAGGAGACGAATATGTCAAAGGGGATGGAGTGAATAACTTATGGCTCATGTGAACCAGAGCAATCAATGATGAATACTCCAAGGATTTGGCATAGGCAAGACTTGCAATAACCAAGGTTCTTCAAGGATATGGATCAAAAATCAGCACTGGGGGAGAGGGTTTTCTGTAATAATTGTCATTAAGTCACTAATAATGACAATGGAAGTCGACTGGTGGGAGCACAATGGTATTTTGCGTGCCTAAATTGTGGGATGACTTTCCTCTCTTCTTTTGCATGTTTGTGTACTATTTTCTATGAGGTTTTAATTTTTTTTAGAATTGGTGAAGAACTAATCAGCATGGCCTATTGGCATTTATAAAGCCTTTGAGGTTGGTTCTCTCTTTTTTGTACTCATTTCTCTCTTAAACTCAATATATATTTAGCACGAAAAAAAAAGGCAGAAAGAACCTTCATATAAGCACATCATTAATAGATGAACTTCGTTACACAACATCTCCAGTAGTTATGAAAGAAATGATATCCCATATGAAATATGTTGTTCACTTGTAAATTGCAATTCAATATCCAGTGAAATGATGGATATATGATCTGTAATTTTGTATCTCCTTCTTACATAGAAATACTGGGTACTGATTCTTCTGTTCAAACTTTGAGTCAGCTGTCTAGCACTCAAGTTATTTCTTCAACTATCCTGTTAATGGTTGCGAAGACTGACGATCAATACAACCTCAGAGGTGGCTGCAGTCAAATGGATTTTAGAAATTAGAGGGCTCAAACTTCAAAAAAAAGATTCTACAAGCAAGTGAAGTAAAGAGTCAAACCATTGGCAACTATGCCTAAATACTTACCTCGTAAGCAATTATTGTTTTGCAGTAGGTGGAATTTTTAGTAGTTATGCTGGTGGAATCATGCTCTCTATCCTTGATAGATTTTGCAGATCGGTAAAGCTTTACCAGCCAGGGGAATTGTATTTCATGGGAATGTCTCACAATTGAAGTGGGGTGTTGCATCTGAATAGTTTCTGTGTCATTCATCCTTTCCATTGATGCTGTTCGCCTGCTTTTCGGTTTCATGCTCCATTTGGGTCGTTGCTTTGGTTCACTATGTGACCTGGCTTTTGCTTTTGAGGACTCTGTATTGGCCATATAATTCCGTGCAAGATGGTAGTCGTTAGAACTGGAATCTTCATTTTCTGATAATGCTTTAGGTAATGCTGCAGTGATTTGGCTTGATTTAGATGCTGAAGAACAGCACTGGGAAATTCTTTTTGGTGTATTGTGGGAGAATTCTTCCTCAAGTTGCCTGTCTCGGGTTCTTGAACTTGTGACACTGGAGGCTGATGGACTTTGACATATCTGAAATTCCCGATGTTCATGTTTTGACATTGATAGACGTTTAGAATAATATGTGCTGAATACATGTTCAATTCTCTCAGTTTGTTGGTGATTTTTGGGGCTACGTTTGCTCCTTAAACCTCTCCTTGCTTTATTGATATTTGCATCAATTGTTTCCTGCGTTGATGATAAACAGAAAGCTTATTTACTGTTGAACATAAACTAAAGGATAAATTTTCAGTTTGACCGCTTCTAATATGACTTTGCTCTCGCTTCGCATCCTTAATTATTGAATTTCTCACATTGTCCTTTCAACTACGTGGATTGGTTTTAAATTGCCTCAAACTTGAATGACCATATGTATTGTACCTAAACATCATGGGTTTTTCACATTGAGGATTAAAGATTAACATCATATAGTTGACAAGGCAAAACAATTAAAATTAGGATTGGAATTTAAAATGGACAATATCTTGAGATGAAAAAAACTAAGAAAGAAACTTGCACTATAAGCTCTGGTGAGCTGATTGTTCTGAGCAGATTCTGTGGGAGTTGTTCTTCTTTTGAAGACAAGCTGTGCTTCCTCAGCCATCTGGACTCTGTGAACTCGAGCTCTAACTTGAATTGACATCAAAGCATGCATGCTCCTCACCATGGCACTTGTTTGTTTTCTCACCAGGTGACCCCTTACCAATGCTTGTAACTTCACCAGTCCCCTTAAAGCACACAATGCTCTCCTTGCCTGCTGGGGCATTGAACCATTGGTCATTCATTCCTATAGTCATTACTCATTTCTTAATTATTTCTATCCCAACTGTTCACTTACTTAATTTATGGTGCTACTATATAAAATCCAATCCGCTATCACTTGGGCAAATTGATGTGGAGTTGTACATAAGTATTAATTTTTCACTTCTATTATCCAATGGGTTTTAAAATTGTACGGGCCAACCCCAAACTAAGCCTGCAATATTGGACAAGACTGATATGGATTGTTACAGGTGGTATTAGAGCTTGTGCATCCTTCAATGCACTTTGGTTCGGAGGTGGTGGCTTGGGACGCTTGTAGCTGGCATGGTGGGCATTAACGCCCAAGTAAACATTGTCTAGGTTGGGGCGGGTACTAAAAAGGATATTTGGGCTTAATGGGAATGGACTATAATGATGATCTCATATAGTTTGGTGAAGTGAATGTAAAGCAATACTTAGGCGTTCATTATACAATACATTTTAATATTGCCGAAGAAAGTTCAAAGTTCACAAGTTCAATTAGTTTCATCTGTGAGAATTAAATAGGAATTTCTTCTAAGGAGATATTTAATGAGAGAGGGACTCACGTATATAGAATGAGTCCTACTTGAATTCTTGGTCGGTGATTTATCAAGAAGAAAAATAGAGAAAAAATAGATATATATATACATATTTTATTGTAAAAAGAGATGCAACACGAAAATTTTTTAGGGGTCACTAGTTCTATTACTACACTCAACTAAATATGCTTAATTGTTGAGTTTTGACGAGATTTGGTACATTAATGCTGATATGATGATATCCCACGACAAAAATATATTGGAGGGGATGTCAACCCACAAAGTTAGAATACTTACCAAATAAGAACGGAAGAAAGCTTGAATTTTGGTGGCAGCTGCCTCTTCAACAGGTCCAGCAGTTTGTGCGTGTGCTATTGCCATGGCTGTTTTAGTGGCTTCATATTGCTGCAAGGCTTTTGTTATGAGTTGTGCGGTGACATCTGAGTCGAAGGACCTTGTAAGCTTATGAGAGGGAGCCTTAGTATCGGTGCTTGGTGGTTTCTTAAAGCTCCACCTGCGCTTTTCTTGAGGAGTTTCTTGTAGAAATGGGGTTGGGGTCGATAAATTTTCTGCAGGAAAACAATCATCTCTCTTCTTTTCTCTCACCTCTTTCTTGCCTACCAGAAAGTTTCTGATCCATTTGCTTGCCTTCCCCATATATGGCATACCATCTAATTCTCCATTTTGAGCCACTAGCACTATGGAGATATGGAAATGAGCATGCACTTAGAGCATCAGAAAAACAAGGTTAGATCTCTCTCTCTTTCTCTTTTTTTTGCATATATAGGATTTACCGGTTGACCACTTGTTAGTCCATTGATCATCGTGAGACTGATTAATTAATTGGTTCGTATAGTACGTATCACAAAACTCAGCTTTCAAATGAGTTTTTTAAGTCTTTTGGCACATTTTAATTAGCCAAGGCCGGCAATGACAACCCTTGTGATGCCATTTGCCACCTTTCAGAATATTGGCCAAAGATCCGTTTCTTGTGATGGAATTATGTCAACAACCCAGCTTTAGCTTCCGAATTTTGCCCCATTGTTGGGAAAGAAGACGTGAATCAACATTAGATGTTGCACCCTTGAGAACAAACAGGGAACTCCACATTGAATGCACAGATTATTGCATTTTGCACCTTGGAAAATTCAAGATTCTCACTTTGCACTCTTAAAAATTAAATTTTTTCACATTACATTCTCATTGTATCAAAAGAATTGTAATAGGATATGTATACACGGGATATCATGTAAGCCTTGTGGGCACTATTGTATTTTTATCATATTACCTTGTATATAAATATACAGCCAACCCTACTAGGGTAGTAGGCCATTCAAATCCTGTCATGGTATCAGAGCCATAAAGCTCTTCCTGAGGCGTGAGCTCTCTCCTTTTTCTTTTTATTGCAGCACCACCTCCTTTCTCTCCTTTTCTCTTTGTCTCTTCTTCATCCTTCTACAAATCCATATTCAACAACAAATCATGTCTTCTTCCACAACCAGCCCAGCTATTCCTTCTTTATTCTCTTGTCCTATCACCAATATCTCCAACCATGTCTCTATTAAACTAGATTCTGAAAATTATCTTTTATGGAGTGATCAATTTACCCCCATCCTTCTTTTCAATGATCTCATGGGCTATGTTGATGGATCAATCTCTCCACTGCCCAAAGCTTTGACTGACAAGGAAAAACAAATCCCAATCCCAAATCCCACATACATTGAGTGGTTGAAAACAGATCAATTTCTTCTCTCATGCCTCAAGGGTACACTATCACCTAGCGCCAATGCGCAAGTCCTGGGTTTGTCAACGTCCCGTAAAGTTTTGGACACCTTAGTAACTATTTTCCATCAACAATCTCAAACCAAACTTGATCTTCTTCGTGATGAATTGCAAGGCCTCAGTAAAGGTATGCTACCCATTGAAGAGTACTTGGCTAGAATCAAATCTCTTGCAGACAATTTGGCTGCCATAAATCTTCCTGTGTCTGATTCTGAGTTAGTCACTCGCACCTTTAATGGACTTCCAAATACTATGGAATATCAGCTCTTGGTGTTTGCAATAGAAAATCGTGAACATCCCCTTCACTTTGATGATCTTCTGGCACGATTATTAGTTCATGAGCAACGTTTGAAGTGCGAGGATCTGACATGCTTTATACTGTTTATTTATGAAAATGTTAACTTACAAAAATTAATTTTTATTTCATTGAAAAGCTAACCGGTAGGTTTGATGTATAACTGAACCATATCACAACAACTGATTAGGTTAGTCAGAAGGACTATGTACCATGCATCAATCAAATAACCTTAGTAAACCCGGAGGTGAACCATTCAAAAAGTTTACTCTAGCTATTTAATCGGCAAGTTGATGAATCAATGACCAACTGTTATAAGCCCAACAATGTGCATCACCGTATCATACATGAAGTACGTAATAATAATAGATAGAACGGTATATATCAATAGGTTTTGCTCGGTGTTCATAACCATGAGCATATTATAAATGTAATAATCCATCAATTATGAGAGGTATAAACATTAACCCATAAAAAAAATATTGGCATTTTCATAACTTAAAACAATATTGCACATGTTTTCACCCTTCACCGAAGAGTACAAACGGACTACTCACGCCTCATTGCTATAAATGAGCAAAATGAGTGAGATAATCCCTTTATAATTGAAAACAAAATACAACATGTACTTTCCCGAGGAATAACTAAAACACTACCACTCTTATTACCAATTAGAGCACAAAAGTGGGAGAGGTTCAACCTTCCAAGTAGAAAGGATAAACAAAAATATAAAAGTAGAGAATATTCTGGTTGGGAAGCGATTAGGGTAGGGCTCCGCTCGTTTTCTGGCTAGAACACTCACTAAAGCCTCTCTTTCTTTTCTCTTTTCTCTCATCTCTTGAACTGGACTGAGCTTTCGTGATCTCCCTAGAAAATGAGTTGAGGAGGGCTATTTATAGGCATCGGTAGAGGGCTTTAAGGTGGCAGACACCAAACCTATCCAATCATCTCATTTTGTTGCTAAATTGGACCAATGGGAGAGGAGAGAGACAGAGGCGGTTGGAGCACCGTCCAGACGCCATCACCACCGCCCAGACGGTAGCATTTCTCTGGTTTTGTAGCCTTGGTAGCCTCCTTTTTTGACTTGTTGACTTGATAATTGCACTTGCCTCCTCTTTTTCATTTAGCCTTTACACTTTGATCCTCTTGAAACCCTACAAAATGTACAAATTACGCATTAACCCTAATTCTTTATAACTTAATTTACACACACAATGAACCTTAAAACCTAATTCATTTACGTATTATTTAGGATTAATCAAGCACTAAAAGGAGTTGCTCAAATAGGGGTCCGATTACTTAAACTATGCTTTCAAAACTCATAAATAATTAGAAAAAAAATTTATTTTTAAATTTTTGTCCTAAACATGAAGGTGCATATGAAGGTTGAATGATGTACCTTTAACGCTTGATCTCCTCTCTTCAATGATGCTTTCGAATGTTGAACTTGATAGCATCATGACCATGAAAATTTTTGAGATTTTACAATGGACTCCACGATATTAGCCAATTATAAATACATAATCTAACAGGAGTATTAGTTTAGGTTGAAGAAACTATAGACTTGAATCTTTTGGGAGTTGTGTGCTTATAAGATAAGTGCGAGTTGATGCCTAGTTTGGTTATGGATTGTTTATTTATTCAAATATAAGGAGTTTGAGCTGGCTTAGAAGAATTGATGAAAACTTTTTGGATGGTTATACTAGTTTCATATCATGTCGTTATGGACTATTTTAGGAGACAAATGGTATTTGGGTTCCGATTAGTAAATGATGTCAGACATGGATCTTTATACAAGTGATATTACCAATATTGGAGGTGGGTATGAGATATGATTAGTGATAAAAGACACCCAAACTCGAATTAGACAACTGTAGCAGAACTATTAGTCAAACAGACTGTTTTTCACTAATTGGACCACAACTTTATGTTGGAAAGTCCAAATTGTGCATCATTTTTATTGTTTGTTAGAAGTTTAACTCGTTTATCTTTTGAACTATATTGATCACACATGCTAAAATTCCTAAGTTGATTAGTTTATTCTCCAAAGTTGATCAAAAATCTGTACTGTGCTCTTTCTTGGACTTCAAATTGTTATGCTTTTCTTCTTAGAATCTGAAGGACTTATCCTTTAGCAAGCTTCTACAACTATTCTCCACTATATGTATCAAATTTGAAGGTAAAGTATTTTCTCCTAACTTCTAACTCGAGCAAGGTCATACGTGCTTTGATATTTAGAGTTTCAATTGGTAATAAAATTTATAATATTAAAGTATAATCTAGAATTCTATAACAGACTAAAACATAATCAAGTTCAGATTTTCATCAAAATACCCCTTACCCAATTATTAGTCTCATCATTTGCACATAATTCAAACAATTGGAAAATTAAAACAAAATTTTTG